GAGGGACGAGGGCCGGACCCGGACGGGGCTCTCCCGGCGCCTCCCCCGGACGGAGCCTCCCCGGGCAGCGGCGGAGGGGCTCGTTCCCCCCCTCCGGCAGGGAAGCCCCCGCCCCGTCTGCAGGGCCCGCCTGCCCGGCGCCCAGCGCGGACCCGGCGCCCCCCAAGAGCCCGTCGGGCCCCGAGCAGCCGCCGCCCCCCTCGCTCTTTCCGCGCCCCCGCCAGTCGCCGAAGCCAGACGGGCTCTGGGCTCCCGGACCCCCAGCCCGAATTGCGCCAGGCGCCCGGGCAGGAGCGAGCAGCGCCCTCCGCGCGGGGGACCCGCAGCCGGGAACCCGGGGCGAGGCCGGAGAAGCCCGCTGGCCGTCCGGGCTCCGCTCCTCCCTTGGCCGAGGGCGCCTCCCCGCTTGCCCGCCGCCCCGAGGCGTCCAGCGCTGGAGGTCGTGCCGGGGTGTGTGCGTGTGGAGGTTGCCGTGGGAAGGAGCGCTCCGTGCCCGCCACCCTCCCCGAGGCCGTCCCGGCGCGCGTTTCCTTCCCGGCGGGGCTTCAGCACCCAAGCCGGGGCGGGCTTTACGGGCGGCCGAGTGGGCGCCCCCGGTGCGACTGAGCGGCCGTGCCGCGGCCCGCCTCCCCGAGTGGAAGGAACCGCCCGAGACTGCGGGGGAGCTGCGGGGGGCCAGAAGCGGAGGCCGGTCTGCGGAGCCCCGGGCCGTCTCCCGAAGGGCGGGCGAGGAACGAAGGCAAAGAGCCTTCCGGGCTTTTTCTCCCCGCTGTGCAAATTCTGCTTTTCGACCTTCTGAATAAACCCGGGAACCGTCTGGGGTTTTTTTTGAAAAAACAGTTTTCACACGTAGCCCAGATCGGGAATCCACCTTCGATCCCCTTGGGAAGATCTCCGGCGGATTCTTCTTTTCATCGTGGTGGGATAGCGCCATCTGGCGGCCTTTTGGATCCTCCGCTTTAGTCCATCGATCAAGCGCTTCAATTTTCCCTTTTTTGTCTGTTGCCAAGTTGCTTCCCTCCACACACACACACCCCCCGTTATTCCCCGTTATTCCCCGTTATAGCTCTGGGTCCTTTTTCTTTCAGCAAGGCATGCTGCGTGTTAAGGCCCAAAGCCAAAAACTTGATCTTTGCATTTTATTTCTACTTGGGGAAAGGCCAGGAAGTGCATCGTTTTTGGTTAAGCCGTCTAAAGTCACTGAACTTGAGTGGGCAGCCATAAAGAGTCGCCTTTTGCTACTTGCCTCATAACTCTTGAAAAGCCAGCGGTTAATTAAACCAGAGTTGAGGTGGAAACAAACTCTATGTCACTCGTTTGCATATTCTACTCACCACTTATGGAGAATAGAGCTGGACGGGACCTTGGAGATCTTCTAGTCCAACCCCCTGCTCAAGCAGAAACCCTACACCATTTCAGATAAGTAGCTCTCCAGTCTCTTCTTGAAAACCTCCAGTGTTGGAGCACCCACAACTTCTGGAGGCAACTTCTGTTCCACTGGTTGATTGTTCTCACAGTCAGGAAATGTCTCCTTATTTCTAGGTTGCTTCTCTCCTTGATTAGGTTCCATCAGTTTCTTCTTGTTCTGCCTTCAGGCGCTTTGGAGAACAGGGTGATCCCCCTATTCTTTGTGGCAGCCCCTCAAATCCTGGAAGACTGCTGCCATGTCATCCCTGGTCCTTCTTTTCACTAGACATACCCAATTCCTGCAACCCAATTCTTCGTATGTTTTAGCCTCCAGGCCCTTAATCATCTTTGTTGCTGTGTTCTGCAGTCTTTCCAGAGTCTCAACATCTTTTCTACAATGTGGTGACCAAAGCTCTATGCAGTGCTCCAGATGTGGTCTTACCAAGGCCTTATAAAGTGGTATTCATGTGACCTTGACGCTGTGCTTCTGTTTATGCAACAAGGATTGCATTAGCATGTTCGGCTGCTGCCGCACACGGCCGGCTCATCTTGAAGCGATCACTCCGGGAGACACTCTTGTCGCCAAACCCCCAAATAGACATGCTGCTGTCCTTAAATGCAGCAATTTGCTTTGATTGACTTCTTGCATAAGGTCTCATTCATAAATAAACTGGGACTGAGGCAACAGCTCAAAAGCGTAACGAGCAGGTCCAGGGCGAGGCGCGCAGGTTTCCGGGGGCGAAGAGGGTGATGGGAGGAACAAAGGGGGAAATGAAATGGGGGTCTTTTCCTTCAGAGCTCTCCTCCTGGTGGGGCTGCTCCTGAGCATGTGAAAGCTGCAGCTGATCCAAGCCTGGATGTTTTTCCTGCCTTCCCTGGAAGGCTCCCACTGTGGCCGTCCTGGTTGCCTGTGGCTGCTGCCGAATGCGGTTCAAGATGCAAAGACGGTCCTGCCCTCTGAGGCCCTGCGTGGCCCCACTTGAGGGACCACCCACTCCTGTCTTCACACAGTCGGG